CAAAGTGAGAGCATTTGGGTCAAAATTAAGGGAGAGAAGAATAACAGAGACCTCATTGTGGGAGTTTACTATAGATCCCCAAGCCAAACGGAGGACATAGATGATGCCTTCCTGGAACAGATGGCCAAGCATGCAAAAGGAAGGGAGATAGTAGTAATGGGGGACTTCAATTACCCGGATATTTGTTGGATGTCAAACTCAGCCAAGAGCATAAGGTCAAACAGATTCCTCACTGGCCTTGCAGACAACTTCATTGTCCAGAAAGTGGGAGAAGCAACAAGAGGAACAGCCATTTTAGATCTGGTCCTAACCAATGTTGAGGACCTGGTTAGTGGGGTAGAAGTGGAAGGATCATTAGGAGCGAGTGATCATGCTCTTCTGAAGTTTACTATACAGCGGAAAGGAGCAGCCAAGCATACTAGGACTCAATTTCTTGACTTTAAGAAAGCCGACTTCATAAAACTTAGGGAAGTGCTGGGTGAGATCCCATGGACAGTAATACTAAAAGGAAAGGGAGTTCATGATGGCTGGGAGTTTGTTAAGAGGGAGATAGTAAAAGCACAACTTCAGGCAATACCAATGAGACGGAAACATGGAAGGTGCCTAAAGAAGCCAGGGTGGCTATCTAAAGAACTTTTAACTGAGTTAAGATTAAAAAAGGATGTGTACAAAAAATGGAAAAGGGGGGAAACCACCAAAGAGGAATTCAAACAAATAGCCAGCACGTGTAGACACAAAGTCAGAAAAGCTAAAGCACAGAATGAACTCAGGCTTGCTAGAGAGGTTAAAAGCAACAAAAAAGGCTTTTATGGGTATGTTCGTAGCAAAAGGAAGAACAAAGAAACAGTGGGGTCACTCAGAGGAGAAGATGGTGAAATGCAAACAGCGGACACAGAAAGGGCTGAACTCCTCAATGCCTTCTTTGCCTCAGTCTTCTCCGATAAAGAAAACAATGCCCGACCTGAAGAATTTGGAGCAAATGATTCAGCAGAGGAAACACAACCCAGAATAACTAAGGAGATAGTACAAGAATACTTGGCTAGTTTAGATGTATTCAAGTCTCCAGGGCCAGATGAACTGCATCCAAGAGTATTAAAAGAACTGGCAGATGTGATCTCAGAACCACTGGCAGTCATCTTTGAGAATTCCTGGAGAACAGGCGAAGTCCCGGAAGACTGGAGGAGGGCAAATGTTGTACCTATTTTCAAAAAGGGGAAAAGAGAGGACCCAAATAATTACTGCCCAGTCAGTCTGACATCAATACCAGGGAAGATTCTGGAGCAGATCATTAAGCAAACAGTCTGTGAGCACCTAGAAAGGAATGCTGTGATCACCAATAGTCAGCATGGATTTCTGAAAAATAAGTCATGTCAGACTAACCTGATCTCGTTTTTTGACAGAATTACAAGCCTGGTAGATGAAGGGAACGCAGTGGATGTAGCCTACCTTGATTTCAGCAAGGCATTCGACAAGGTGCCCCATGATATTCTTGTAAAGAAGCTGGTAAAATGCGGTCTTGACTATGCTACCACTCAGTGGATTTGTAACTGGCTGACTGACCGAACCCAAAGGGTGCTCATCAATGGTTCCTCTTCATCCTGGAGAAGAGTGACTAGTGGGGTGCCACAGGGTTCTGTCTTATTCAACATCTTTATCAACGACTTGGATGATGGACTCAAGGGCATCCTGATCAAATTTGCAGATGACACCAAACTGGGGGTGGGGGGGGTGGCTAACACCCCAGAGGACAGGATCACACTTCAAAACGACCTTGACAGATTAGAGAACTGGGCCAAAACAAACAAGATGAATTTTAACAGGGAGAAATGTAAAGTATTGCACTTGGGCAAAAAAAATGAGAGGCACAAATACAAGATGGGCGACACCTGGCTTGAGAGCAGTACATGTGAAAAGGATCTAGGAGTCTTGGTTGACCACAAACTTGACATGAGCCAACAGTGTGACGCGGCAGCTAAAAAAGCCAATGCAATTCTGGGCTGCATCAATAGGAGTATAGCATCTAGATCAAGGGAAGTAATAGTGCCACTGTATTCTGCTCTGGTCAGACCTCACCTGGAGTACTGTGTCCAGTTCTGGGCACCACAGTTCAAGAAGGACACTGACAAACTGGAACGTGTCCAGAGGAGGGCAACCAAAATGGTCAAAGGCCTGGAAATGATGCCTTATGAGGAACGGCTAAGGGAGCTGGGCATGTTTAGCCTGGAGAAGAGGAGGTTAAGGGGTGATATGATAGCCATGTTCAAATATATAAAAGGATGTCACATAGAGGAGGGAGAAAGGTTGTTTTCTGCTGCTCCAGAGAAGCGGACACGGAGCAATGGATCCAAACTACAAGAAAGAAGATTCCGCCTAAACATTAGGAAGAACTTCCTGACAGTAAGAGCTGTTCGACAAGGAGTGTGGTGGAGTCTCCTTCTTTGGAGGTCTTTAAGCAGAGGCTTGACAACCATATGTCAGGAGTGCTCTGATGGTGTTTCCTGCTTGGCAGGGGGTTGGACTCGATGGCCCTTGTGGTCTATTCCAACTCTACGATTCTATGATTCTATGATTCTAAAAGCAAAGAAATTCCAACAGCCCTGCCTAAAGTCCTGTGAAGACATCATAGCTGACTTGGCATATTTGACGAATGAGTTTTGAGGCTTTTAAGAGCTTTAATTACTAGACAACCCATACTCTGTATTTAAAAAAATTATTCTTTAGTAAGAATACTTTTTTGTTTAAATCACAAAATATTGTGGAAATATTTTTTATAGTAGAATTCATGGAGTGCTGGAAAATAACGAATATAAAGATTGATTCCTATTATCTCTCATACTTAAACTGTTCTTTAAACAGCTGGTTTCTTGCAGACAGTATTTATTTTATTTTTTAAATAATTTAAGACAGCATAAGCTTGTACCAAGCATTAAGCATTGTAACAAAAGTGCAACTTTGTTTTTCAGCAATTCCTCATCAAAAGGGATATTTTTAAACTCAATTATCATTACTCAATCTTCTTCCTACAAAAATAGCATGTCGGACATCATTAATTGAATGTATTAACTATTTACATACAGACACTCTGTAGGCTAGTAAGATTTTAAAAAAGAATAGAAAAAAGGACCAACATTGTTTAAAAACAGTGTTTGAGGCAAACAGTAGCAACAGCAATAGCAGCAAATTCACTCAAAATGACTAACAGACCCAGGCATATTCACTCATAGTCAGACTGTTGTGTCTCGCCTCTTACATAACATTCAAGTGAGATTTCTCACAGTGCTACCTTGGCAACAAACTAAAAATATCTAGGCAAGGTTCTTGGCTTAAACCTTATTAACAAAGCTTTAGCTGTGTGATTATCTGGTGTCTGGCAACAGTCTCCAGAAAGGGAAATTGGGATATCTGGAGACAGAAAAACCTTGCAAGGAAACCTTATCCCACTTTTACCCAGTTACCAACACACCATTTTTAATTATGATTTCTAACCTCTTTTAGCTTATGTTAGCGGCTGTGCCTTTCAACGGTGGCCTCATGCACATATATTATGCAAGTGAAGCTTTGCAGTTAGCTTTTATCTCCATGCCAGGAAAAGCAGCACTTTCTTTCACCCCAATCTACCAAGGAAAAACCACACACTGAACTGCTGGAGATTCCGATTTCGCTGTTCTTATTCACAGCATGATGGTCTTCTGGGACCACTGTATGGACTGGCTGTGTCTTTTACTGCTTATGGGAAGGCATACTCCTCTCTGGGACTGCTTGCTTGGGGCTTTTGTGTTTAGGCCACGGTTAAAGGCACAAGATCAGGACAGTAAACTTATTTCTTCCTTCAGGATACAATCTAAGGCTAGATTGTGCTGCATTCCTATGCACACTTACCTGGGAGTAGGCCCCACTGAAGACAGCAAGACTTATTTCTGAGTAAATAGGATTGTACTGTTAATGGTGTGGGGTGTCTTTTTTCTTGTTAGTCCAGTGCAGTGATGTTCCTTCACATACAACAAGGTAATTTAATATCAGGAACACAGCAAAACTAAGCATTAAGATGTAGAAAAATGCACTTGCTTTAGCAAATAAGAAACTACATAATGGGACAGTTCTTCCGTCCCTTGAGCAAATGCCAGGGGTAGCTCTAAAAATGCAATACAATAAAAATACATGAACAAGGTCTGTTCATGATCTGTTTCTCAATAAAGTGCTAGCTTACCTTCATTTTTTCTCCCAAACCCCATTTCCACAAACTCCTAACTAACTAACCAAACTCCTCCAAGCATTGCATGTGGCAAAGGTAAAATATAGCCCATTGAAATAAATGGTTCCTAAGCTCTGAATAAAGGTAAAATAATGTTGCTATTTGGCAGAATCAGATGGCAACTCCAGTGATTTCAATGCAGTTGCATTGCACTTAAATTTTACTGGCTTCTGCCCAATGATTCTTGTATGGAGCCACCAATTAAGAAGTCAGTAATAGAGAAGCAAATTCTCTGTAATTCTTAGGCTACCATTCTCAAGACAACTTCCTCTCATCCATAGTAGTGACACAGGCTTCAGTTGGGCCGTTCTTAAGTAAGCAGTTTGCCTGTTTGTTGACTTGGTTACTACCAGGAAACCGATTCCTGGATTTCTGGACCAGGAAGCATTTTATGCTGAAGCTTGCCCTGCCAGGAGCACAATCTACTATGGAACTTTCCTTTGCAAACCCCACTAAAATTCAAGCGCACTTTAAAGTAAAAAGGTAAAGGTACCCCTGCCCGTACGGGCCAGTCTTGACAGACTCTAGGGTTGTGCGCCCATCTCACTTAAGAGGCCGGGGGCCAGCGCTGTCTGGAGACACTTCTGGGTCACGTGGCCAGCGTGACAAAGCCGCATCTGGCGAGCCAGCGCAGCACATGGAAACGCCGTTTACCTTCCCACCAGTAAGCGGTCCCTATTTATCTACTTGCACCCGGAGGTGCTTTCGAACTGCTAGGTTGGCAAGCGCTGGGACCGAGCAACGGGAGCGCACCCCGCCACGGGGATTCAAACCGCCGACCTTTCGATCGGCAAGCCCTAGGCGCTGAGGCTTTTACCCACAGCGCCACCCGCGTCCCGCACTTTAAAGTAGTTCCTGCTTATTTCACTGGGGCTTGTGCAGAGCTTCCTGCTGAGTTATGCCCACTTGAGTAAGTTCCATTACAGTCTATACATAATCATTATTAAAGTGCCTGCAGTTACGGTATGGTATGGTACAGTATACGGTATATCTCGCATCCTGAATCCCCAGTTCCAGATGCTGCAGCCCCTGCCCTTTTCTTTAGGCCTTCTGAATTGTTAAGCAAACTTCTCTTACGAAGAAAGAGCCATATCCCCCACCCCTAAGGGAGTCTTTTCCATTTGCTTTTGTTTCAGTTCAACTGGGGGATGGAATTCTGCAACATTACAACATTTGTGTAAAGAAAATTTTAAACACACACACAGCATTGTGGGGGGGGGGACAAGGAGCTCTCCAAAAATATTTGTGGGAGAGGGAGAACCTAATCTTTTAATAAAAGAAAAAGAATAAACTGTCAGCCTAGTAACCTTTCCCTTAAACACACAAAGAAACAGGGTGAGGGTTGCTTCTCATTCTTGGGAGTGATGGATCCTTCCTGTCAAGTAGGAGGCATGAACTGTGTGGTTTCCTTTAGAAATGATGTAGCATCACTCAAGGATTTTCCTCTGCAGACTGCAAATGCTCCTCTTGGGAAGGGAGGTCCATGTCCCCATGGAGCCCACCTGGGTTGCAGGTAAATGGATGGGGGAGGTGCTGGCCAGAAGAAGCCACATCGGTAGACGTTGCTGAGGCCAAGCTGGTTTTCTCTCCTGGTACCAATACTGAGGAGAAACAGGGGAAGGCTGCAGCCGCAGCAGCAGCTGCAGCCTGAGCTGGAATCCCTGGGTAGATCCAAGGAATTGGAGTAGCAGCAGCAGCAGCGACTGCTGCTGCTGGGTAAAAGTATTTGTCCAGGTTGCTCTTGTCCAGGAAGGGCTGCATGTAGGCAGCTGCTGCTGAGGGGGAGATGAAGCAGAGAGGCAGGCAGAAGGGAGCAGCAGGTTGTTGGACAAAGGGAGATCCTCCTCCCCCCAGACCTCCAAAAGCCACCAGGGAGCTGAGAAGGGCCGAACCAGCTGCTTCTTGGTCTGGGCTCAACACTGCCGAAGAGGTGCTGCTGCAATCCATCTTCAGCCTTTTGGCTGCTGGAGGTGCCTCATCCCCAGAGGGCTCCTGCTTGATCATCAGGTTGCCTTGCCTTTTGTCCCCTTCCGGTCTTCCCTCGCACTCACCGCCATAGCCACTATCTGTATCCGTGTCATTCTCCCCACCAAGCTCCACACGACCCCTTGGATGGTGGCTGAATTTATGCTTGCTACTCGCATTCTGAGTCCTCTGAATGACTGGCACACAATTTGGCTGGCTCTCCAGCTTTGGGCCAGTGTGATCTCGCTGCACACAGGAAGAGGCGGAGGAGGTGGGGCAGGGTCCCTTGCCTGCACAAATCTTTGGAGTCAGGAGCTGGGGGCTGGGGAGGAACCGAGTGCAAACAGAGTGCAGGTGGTTGATGAGCTGGGCACATCTCTGCTCTCTTGGAGTCCAACTTTCAAATCTGGAGAGGTACTGCATGACTTCCTTGGTGCATGTCTGGAATCCTGAATGGAAAGCATCCAGGTCAGATTGCAGAGGAGACTTCAAAGATCTCTCCCCTACAAAGGGGGGGGGAGAGAAGAGGGAGGGAGGGAGGGATGCAAAATAACAGGCATTAGTAATACTACTTGCATTAGATCTAGTGTTACACAGAATCTGACTGTTTTATTAACAAAATTCCTCTATAATGTAATTGCTTTGTGTTAAATGTACTAATCTTCTAGTGCAAAGTTATCAATCTAGGACTCTGATTTATGAAATCAGTTGGAAAAGGTTACGGTATCTCAAGAGATAACATGCTAAAGCTGTAATACTAGACCTACTTATTTGGGAGTAAGCCTCAAACAAAATGGGACCTATTTCCAAATAAATAATAGAATTGTAGAGTTGGAAGGGACCCCAAGGGTCATCTAGTCCAACCCTCTGCAATGCAAGGATATATATGTATATACGGTAGATATGGTCAGATGGCACAGCTGCAGTCCTTTTCACATTTACATAGGAGTTAAGGCCCACTAAATTTAAGGGGACTAAAGTTTAAGTAAACATGACCGTACAGGTCACTGACTCTGAAGCAGTTCTATAGATTTCAATTTGGCAACTTAACTGTGGAGTTAGCTAACAGTTCACCAACTGCTAAGACTTTGTCAATAACCAGATGTGTCCTTCATAATCTTTGAGAGATATAGAGATACACAATGTCCTATGTTGTGCTTCTGCACTGGGCATTTACTTACCATTCTGTAAAGCAATTATCTTCTGATGCTGCTGCTCTGTTAAGGCTGTTAAAGCTTTTAAGTGTTTCAAAGTTAATTCCAAAACTACAGCTTTCTCCAGATGCCCTAGTGTCTGCAAAGGGAGGGAAAGGGACACACAATCAAACAAAATCCTATTTTCTAAAACTTCACTAAGCTCACTTTGGAAGAAATATTGTTTTATTACTGCCCTTGCTCGAATTGGTGATAAATACTGATAAATCACACCCATTTTGAAACTTCACAAATAAGGCTAATGGTGGTTCTACAGAAGTGCTGTCATATAAGGAATTTATATTAGACTGCTGGATGTCTTAGAATCCTAAAAATCACATTTAATTCAACCCAATTTTAAAGGATGTACTCTAGAAAGTTTTATGGGAACCACCCTGAGACCTCTGGGTATAGGGCGGTAGAAGAAGAAGAAGAAGAAGAAGAAGAAGAAGAAGAAGAAGAAGAAGAAGAAGAAGAGGAAGTAGTAGTAGTAGTAGTGCGGGTAAAGCACTGCTGAACTCAGTGACTTAGTTCTAAGTCAACAAAAATAATCACACTTTTTCCTAATATGTGCATCTTTTACAGTGCAACCATATCCAGGCTAAATCTGAAGTAAGTCCCACTGTGCTAAATGAGCTTACACTGAAGTAAGTGTGCATAGGATTACAGCCTGAGTAGTAAACACTTCACTAAGAGTTTATGGTGTTGCAAAAATACCTAGATAGATGTACAGGCAACCATATACACACGGACTCACACAGACTGGACTTACTGTCAGTTTCAGATGCTCAGGCAATAAATCTTTCAACTGAGCAATACACTCATTAATCCGGTCTCTTCTTTTCTTCTCTATCAATCTATGTGGCAGTTTGTATGTTTCCTATTCAGGAAGAAAAAGGACAAACACTTGTTTCACTATAATGCCAACCAGTACCTAAGCAACTGTCTTGCCACCTACCCTTCTTTCCCGTTTCAAGAGTATCTACTGTCTTAGGCATCTCCACTCTCCCTCCAGAACTGTTCTTTGTCAACATAACTAAAACAAAACTGCCCACTACAGATAACAGAAAGGAAGTGAATGAGGAAAAGAAGAGAACTTCTGCATAAAGTTGGGCTCCCATTTATCAGAAGCCCCTGCTAAGTATTGTGCAGGTGCTGGAGAGCATAAAAAAGCTTATTCTCTTACCTTGCTCTCGTCCCTCTTCATACCTCTCTTGGGCTTGCACATATACAAGGATGGATAACCCAGTCTGCAGGAACAGAAAAGTGAGAGAGACCCATTGCCTTTAACATGCATAGTGGTCTCATTAGCTACTACTTTGCAAGAAATCTCACAAAAGTGGTGCATACAAAACTAATGTCTCACATCAAATGTAACTGATCTGCAGAAAATACACTATAACCTGAAAAAGAGACAATTCATGTACTTTTGTAAGCCAAGAAAATCTTTAATATATTATATTTTTTTTAAAAAAAGGGATGGAGGGGGGCACGTGCATGCTTAAGGGTGCCCAGCCAAAGAACCAGAGTTAACCCATCTCTTTATCTCCCCTTTCCTTTTGCAGAAAGGAAAATAATAAGAAAAACCAGGGTTTTTTCTCCTAAATTAAAATGACAACAATAATGCAGAAGTCCCTGTCATCTGACCCTATGAATTCCCGATGCTCCAATAACTGCCTTTCGGGCAAAGGAGAGATCCCTTCATCCATGTTTGGCAGCAGCTTTTTGGGGGTGGTCGCCGCTTTGGCTGGCTCCCGTGAGGTGGCGCAGTCTTGGGAGACCTTCGGGCAACAAAGCCCCACCGTCGCCCCGGCAGCCTGGTCCGGGTGGGAAAGCAGCTCCCCCTCTTTCTGCTTCTCCTTTTCCTCGCCCCGTCTCTTCCCCTCTGGCTCCGGGCGCGCTGCTACTTGGCGTTCCTGCTTGCTTGTTTGGCCACCGGGCACGCGCTTGCCAGGCAGACCAGCACCCAGCTCACGTGCAGAACGTACCACGCAACCTCCCGGCTCCGGGATGGGGGGCGCGCGCCAGGAGGAGGGGCGGGGGCGGAGGGGGAAGCCCAACTTGGCCTCAGGAAGCATCCTCTGCTCAAAGGGGACCGCGGGCACCGGGGACTCAGGAGCTTCTCGCAAGGAGCGCGTTTCGCCTATTCCTCAGTGTCAAGGCGAGGGGTGGCTTGGGGGGACTTAGAGCCCCCCCCCCGATGGAGGGGGGAGTCATAGAAAAGGTCCTCCTGCCAAGCAGGGCTTCCTCGGGAGGCTGGCAAGGCGCGTGGGCATTAGCCGGGGCAGGAGAGGGAGAGCGGGAAGCGGTGTCCCAGGAGGGGGGTGTTGAAGCCGGCCTCGTGCGAGGGAACTGCAGCCCCGTGTGGCGTCTGACCCCCCCCCCCCTCCAGACCCCTGGCCTAGCCTGCCGCTGGCGAGGGCGGACTCGGGCTCGTGCAAGTCCACGTTTGCTCCGGCTGCTGGCCCCTGAAAAAAAGAAAAGCCGGAGCGAGCCGGAGCGCCCTCCTCTTTAATCCCATCTCAAACTGGTACGAGCACAAGGCGAGCAACGTGATCCGGCCGCCGCCGCACTGCGAAGGGAGCTCCGCGCGCGGCAGCCGCTTTCCTGCAGAGCGCAAACGCAGCCGCGCCGAGCAGATGCTTGACCTGCGGTCCCTCCGTGGGGCGCGGGAGACGCGGCGAAGCACGCCTGGGATTGCACCCCCCCCCCGCCGCCAAATGCTAATAGTGTGCTAGCCCTGGATCAAAGCCCTCGGGCCCCGAGCTGGAGCCTGAGGAGCATCTGGAAAGCGGGGGCGCCTCAAGGTCTTCACCTCAACTCACCCCCAAAATGAAGCGAATGGGAAAGGGGGCGGCGGCGGCGGCGGCTGCTCTGTTGCTTCTGCGCCTTCTGGTCCAGAGACCGAGTTGTGCTCCTCTGGAGACTCAGCCTTGCTGGACTCACAGGTGGCGAAGTGTGCGCGTACACGCGAGATCCAGACCCCATGCCCGAAACGCGGGGGATAAGAAAGCGCCTGCTTGGGCACCACATTCCCCTTCGTGGCTAAGATGCATTTCCTGAGCTTTGAATAGGGAACCATCGCCCGGAAAGCAGCATCCCGAGCCCAACCCAGGTTGAATCGAGGCGAACTCTCACGAAAGCATACACGTGACTGCAGGACTAGCAGAGCATACAGTCCGCAAGCGCTCTCTCTCTCTCTCTTTTCTTGCGCGCACACACACACAATGGCCTCGCTACAGAACATGAGGGGCTCCCATAAGGAGTGGTTACAGTTTTCTGGTGGAGGAATTTGGTCTCTCCGCAGCCCAGGAGGAAACACGTTGCAGCGGAGAGCGCCGGCCTCGTTCCCCAGCAGGAGAGCCGCAACGTGGGCTCAGGCGGGCAGCTGCGGGGCAGCCGAACGGAGCTGCACTGGGGGGGGGGCGCATAGTTTGCAGCTGGATCTATAACCCAGCGAAACGCTCCCCGCTCTAAGCCCCAGGGAGGCTTGCATGCAAGTAAGCGTGCGTAGGATCGGGAGTTGCTCAGCAGCTGTTAGTATCATCCGGAGATGCCTAAAAGGTCTGGCGCATAAGCAACGCTGACATGCAAATGATTCTGTATAGTCAACCTTGCTCTCTTTTCTTTTCTTTTCTTTTTTTAAAAATAATACTTATTAAGAGTTTCAAAATTACAGAAAGAAAGAAGAAAAAAACAAGAAAAAACAACACCAAAATATATAAAAAAGAAAAACGGAAAAAATACATAAAAAATCAATACAACAACACAACAAGAAAAGGAAAAAAAAATTGCAGATCCCTTTTTGCATATCTTTACCTTTCATTTGCTTGTTTCATTGACCTCCTCACACCTCCCTTTTTGTATTCTAGCTTAATTAGTTGTTTCAGCAAATTCTTTCCATCTTTCTCAATTTTTACTAAATAGTTTATCTTAACAGTCTAACCTATTACTTAACTCAACAGATCCTTTCCATCTTTCACCATATTCTGTTATTCAATTTGCCTTTATTTGTTTAACCTTATCTTGCCGTAAAATGCCTTAGAACTTAAAACTTAATACTTATTTATACATAACTCCTTATATCATTTCTACTAAAGCCCAATAGTTTCATTCCAACATTTCCCCCAATATTCATTAATTTACACTAATTCCCAATATAACAATTATTCTTTATAGACTTTCTTCCAATCTCCATCCAACGTCCCTTCTTCCTGGTCTCGGGTTATGTCAGTCCTTACTGTCCATTCCATCTAGTCCATCAACCTGGTAGTCTTATGTCCGAGGCTCTTAAGTCTCTTCCATGCCCCTTCTGCAGATCTTCTTCTTCTTGTTTATACTTGCACTTTTCCTTGTCTTTTGTTGGTCTCTTTCTTAATTTCTTTCCTTTCTCATTGAAGAGTGGGTCTCTGGGGGTTTCCAGCCCAAAATTGCCTCCCCTGATCAGACCAACCCATTCCCCAGAGTCCCACTCCCCGCGGTCATCAACATAATCCAAAAAATATTCAACAGCATGTTTCAGAGTCCCTCCGAAATTAAGAGCCTCCTCAGTTCCAGACTTCCCCTGGCCCACTCCAAATGCAATCTTCGAAAACAGCGGCTTATGCTCCTGCAGGGCCTCAAATCTCTCCATTTGTATTGCTTGAGGTGCTACCGCAACCTTGTCCATTATCTTCTGCACTTGTACTTGCCCAGTTAAAACAGGTTCCTGAGTTGGTCCCTGAATAATTTCTGTGACAGTATTCCCTACAGCCGTCATCAAATCCAGCTTTTCATTTATTAAATCCATCTTCTCATGCATCTGCTCCAACAGTGCATTTGTCTTGCAAAAAGCAAGCACCAAAGCTTCCTCCCAACACATATTGTCCAAGATCAAAAGACTGGTCCCACGATCTTAATCTTACAGCTGTAGAGTCTCCAAGCAGACTGCAGCAACAATTTAACAAGCTCCCTCTAGAGGAGACAATTTCTATTTGTATCCATCTTTTTAAAGCAAGTCCAACAAAGGAAGATTACTTTCGTTTTTCAAATACTTTGTTTCTTTAAAATGCAAAAGGCAACATTGGAATCAGTTTGTTTCTCTTTTTTAACTATCTGTCAAAATGTTCCATTCACAGTCAATGAACGTCTCTGACAATTTCTGTCTCTGACACCCCGTTCCCAGGTTTGAGACGGTGGAAACTTATCTTTCTTTACTCCCTCTCCTGCAGGCTTAAACAGTCAAAGTCCCCCCCCCTTTCTCCTGCTTCCAGGGGGGTTTTAGTGGTTATAAATGAAGGAAATTTCGACCTTTATAAACGACTTTCCAGGCTATTAGCTTACAAGTTTTTGCTTCAGTCTATTTACAAAAAGCGGAAGGCGGACTTCCTGTTTTGAACTTTCCCACTTCGGTGCCAAATTAATATGTTTCTTGATCCAATTTTCCGTTTCTACTCACGGGTACTTGTTTAGAGTCCAATTGTCCACAGGAAAAAGTCAGCGCTCTCTGGCGATGGCTGTGCGGCTTCACTCCGTAAAAATAGCAATCAGTTCGCAGCACCGCGCCGCTCACCCCACTTCGCTCCGGAGCCCCGAAATGGGGTTCCCCGCGAGTAGGGGAGGCACTCCTGGTGCCCTGCCGAACCCCACATTCCCAGGCTTCCTCCGCCTGGGATTTCTAGCGGGTCCCCACCTTCGCCGCGGTGGGAAGACCCAGTTTCCACGGAGCCAGTTCCTCCGGTCGGAGGAACTCCGCCATTCGCTGATGGCGCTAACCCGGAAGTCCCAACCTTGCTCTCTTTTCTAGTTGCTGAGGAAGGATGCTTTAGAGCGTTTTTAAAGTTGTTGGGTTTTTTAATGGAAATATACCCAGCGCTTCTGGAGGTACTGCAGAATACCCCCCCCCAAAGGAAACGAAACGCTCTGAGAATGAGCAGAAAAGGAGAAACAAGAATTGCTGGAAGTGTGGGGTGAAAGAAGGTGGGTTTTTTCCACGTGGTGGTCATGCGATAATACATGAGTATTTTCCTTAATCTTTTTGGGATTTCATTATTCATTATGCCTAGTAGGAAGGTTTCAGGCTATTTTGGGAAGGAGCATTTAAACATTTTTTAAGTTCATTGCAAATTATTTCCCAAAAATTCCTACTTTTTTTTTTACAATTCCACCACATGTGGATCATGGTATCTTCTGCCTCCCCACATCTCCAACAGATGTTTGATCTAGCTTTATACATTTTTGCAAGTTTTACAGGTGTTAAATACAATCTGCAGAGCATCTTCATGCAGTTCTTCAAATCATAGCATGCTGGAAATTTTCGGTCCTCCCTCCACAGCCTCTCCCATGATTCCATCTGGATGTTGTAGCCAAAGTCCCTAGCCCATTGCATCGTAACAGATTTCACTTCTTCCTCCTTGACCTCCCAGTCAAGAATGAGTTTATACATATTAGAGATCGTTTTCTTATTAAATTTATTAAATCTTTCTCTAATCTTGAGAGTTCTGTGGATAACCCTTTCTGTTCATCCTTTTGAAATGTTTCTTTTTTTAAGATAATATTTATTGATTTTATGATTACATATTATACATATACACATTACTTTACATTTACATTTACTCCTAAGAGTTGACTTCCCTCCTTCCTTCTTCTGGCTTTTTTATGTCATCTCTAAGTTTTTCGCATTGTCTTTATCGATTTTGTTTATTCAACTTTATCTGTACAGTGTCTATATATAAATAAATCTTTCTGTATATACACATCTTGTTGTTTGTCTATATTCATTTACAGATACAATTAGTTACCTTGGTTGTATTTTACATTTTAATTCATATTGTCATTTAACATCTGTCAGGGCCGCCTCAGGTCCCAGCTCACAAGAGACCAACGCCAAGTCCACTTTATTTACAAAAGTCTTTATTGAAGTACATTGTTTGTTCCACAGCCGAGGCGCGCAGCCCCACGTCTGTTACGCTTAGACCGCTGAAGTCCCCTCTGAATCAGTCCCGCCTCTACACCAGTTTAAGAGGCTTGTGCTGGTCCACCTCTTCCTGTCCTTCCTTTTCCGCAGGGTCTTTCTGCCCCCCTGGGTTCCTCCCCTCCTGGATTCCCCTGACGCCGAGTCCCCAGACGCCTGCTCCCCCCTCCTCCATGCTTTGGGACCAGGCTCCTCCTCCGGGCTCTCCGCATTTCCGCGCGCCTCCACATTTGAACTTGGCGCGCGTTCGCTACCTCTGACCTTCCTCTTGACAGTTACACTACTCTCTGTACTACTCTCCGCCCCTTCCGGCAGGACGTCTTGCCCCGATCTCCTTCCCCCCTCTGCTTCCTGCTCTGCTTCGTCTGTCACACTGGGAACTCGACCCTCTTCACTCCGTTCCGGCGGGGAAGCTGGCCCCGATCTCCAACTCCCACTCGGGGTTTCCCTGCTGCTCCCCTGCTCCTGACGAGACCCCCCTGTGACTCCCCTTGGCCTGACCAGGGGTGCCCCCTTTTGGGAATCCTCCGATTCACTTGAAAGACTCATGGAAACCCTCAAGTCATTGTCATCCTCCTCCTCCTCGTTCCGGGATTCTTCCCCCTCGCTCACAGTCTCCTCCCTCATCTGTGCCTCTCTCCCTGAACCCCTGACATCCATCCCCCCCTCGAAGCCCCCCTTCCTCCCTCCTGCCCGTAGGGCGCAGGTTTTGGGAGCCGCGTCTCTGCGGGGGTAGATGCTGGATACAGTTCGTCTACTTCGATTTCCTCTGCTTCCAGCTCAGTGTATGTGTGCTCGAACTCGGGTTCTTCTCCCAAAGTGTTCTCGGTCTCCTCTCCCA